TGAAAAACTGTAGCACAGCAGTAGTTCATTTAGGGAATATAACTAATGAGAAAGGAGATGGTACTGCTCTAGTTAAAGATGTTTGACAGTTAAATAAGAAAAATATCTGTATTTATATTTCAGTGCTGTAGAAATATGTTAAAAATTAAGACTAAGTCATTTTTCAATAGCTTGCCCCCACTCTGGCCCTGCAAGCTCCCAAAGTTAGTGCAACAGCCAGTCTTTGCAATTGCTTGGTAGAAAAATTGAATCAGAAGTGAGTGATGTCATCAACGTAAATGAGGCCAGTCACAGTTGGCTTCCTCTCTGTGAGTGGAAAACTGTTTATTTTTTCTGGACAAATTTCATTTGACAGATGTCGTGAATACAGTTATTTGTGAGTAACCAACTATGGTATTTCACTGTATTGTTTACAGATGTAGGAACATTCCCAAGGAAAAGAAAGTATATCTCTGCATGAGTTTCCTAAGTCATACAGAAAATGGCACATTGCCTGGACAAAGTTCTTATCAAGAAGTTGTGATAAATGGAGTCTGCTGAAAGCTGCCATGTAATGAAGTGAACACTTTTTGGAATCAGACTTTGAAAATAAACTACAATTTGATATAGGATTTGCAAAAAAAATAAAAAACTGGTGCTAAAGAAAGATGCAGTGCCCAGTATATATTCAAAGTTCGAGGGAGATCCATCAGGCACGGTGAGAAGCAGCCAGTCTCATGCCAGTGTGACACATCATGCTCTTGTTCACAAACCAATAACAGCAATGACAGTCGTGTCCGATCAGCTGTTCAAAAACGAGAAGCAGGCAGGGTAAGTTCAGGTTTTAGCTAATCTTTCAAGTGAGATATAGAATTGTCAGCTATCATTCAAGTTTTATAAACACATCAGTAGATCTGCTAAAACAAAAATTGTTTATGAAATTTAATTTTCAGCTATTATTTACCAAAAAAAGGGTATGGACAAACAATTGGCTGTTCTTTTTATTTATTTTTCATGTTTGTAACACTTTTTTATGAAATTTCATTGGAGATATTAGTATGCAACATAAAAAGGCTAGATTTACAATATTGATTATCAAAATATTATCCAAGCTATGTTTGTTTCTTCATTCTTAATGTATACTTTGCCATATTCATATAAGTCAGAGAAGACTGTTTTACACTGCTAACGTCAAGAAAATGGGATGAAATTTACAGCTGTCAGTGTGGTCACGTGAGTGATAATATAGTAAATCTATGAGTAAATTCTAGTTAATATTTGTTTTTTCAAGTGAGGGATCTGCATCTAGATGTAAATGTAATATCAGCTGATGGATTCTCGATACTGTATTCTGCACATTTTATGACATTGTAACATATAACTATTGAAACAATTCCATATCAAGAAACATCAGACAACTGCCAGTCCTCATCCACTTCAGCCAACATTAGACACATTATCACCTATAAGCTCTGGTTCAAACATATATATGGTGCGATTGACACATTACATCTATCTTCACCTGCTGTCACCATTTTTGTTTACCTTGTGTGACGTAGGTTTGCCCGGCCAGTTTGCTATGTGGTGTTTCCGCTAGTTTTTCTTAAAGCTAGCCAACAATGACCAAATATGTCTTGGAGCCACATGAGCTTGAGTATTTCATTAATATTTTAATCATGTTATTTTTAGTGCAATACAATATATACATTCAAGCACAAAAAATACCCTATTGTCTGTGGTCTTTAAAGAAAAATTGAAAAGGATGAAATATTTCAAGTTTGCTCTAACTTTGCATTTTCTACTTGATTTTTTTGTGTATTTTTAAAGAAGTTTCTTTGGCATTTCATAAGTAAAATTTATTTCTCAGTCAAGTTGAGATTCACATAAAAAGACCCTGAATAAACTCAAAAACTTGCAATCCAACATTGGATCATGTGAGGCTCTTTTTATAAATACAACCGCTATTAATGGAACGTACAAGGAAATCAAGCTTTCAAACATCAATGATGCAAACTTTGATTCAGAAAAGAAGAGAATCATCAATGATGGAATGAAATATTTTCAGGAACAGTTTTTAGAACAAGGAAAAAGGTAGTAAAAACCTTTTTCAGTGTTTGATACTATTATTTGGCCTCAAGATAAGCTTGAAAATTTTGGGAAAGACAAAACTGAATTCCTTGCTCAGTACTTTCAAAGATATCTTTCATCAAAGATAGTAAAATGAAATTTCTTATGACTGAATGGTACAAGTTCAAAGTTTTGGAACAAGTTTTAAAGATTGAAGAATTACTTGACAAGACACTTTCTAAGGCAAACAGATTTCCTGTTCTTAGCCACCTCATCACTATTGTAGCAGTTTTACCAATATCTTCAGCTGCATGTGAACATGGTTTTAACCATATGAATTTAATTAAAAGTAACAATCTAACACATCTATAGGAATCAACCTTAAGTGATCTGATGATGATTCAACTCATTAGCTGAGCTTCACAACTATCATCCACAAAAACTGTTGATAGTTGGTTTTTGGAACCAAAACATTAAGATATACTCAAAAGCACATGAGACAAAAGTTACCTGACAAAGAATATGGAAAACTATGTCCAAAGCATCCCAAATTTTCATGATTGGTGTGTAATAATAAATCTTTTTCAGGTAACATATCATATTGTTGTTCCCTATTTTAGCTGACTACTAGAAATATTTGTTGGCGACCAAATTTTAAAAAAATTTTGAGCCCTGTGGAAATGATTTATGTTAAAAATAATGTTTTATTGTCAGTTAGAAGCAATGACAAGTGACCAGTCAATATACAACTGCATTCAAGATGCAAACCAACAAAACTGACAGCTACACATGTACTGGCCCTTGTACTTGAGGCTATATATTGTTGGAACCTATTGTAAACACACTTTCCTACAAACACAAAAATCATCTAGAAATCATGTATATATATATATGTGTGTGTAACTCTTACTGCAATAATTTTTCATTTTCAATTCAACTATTAATTCAAAATCTACACTTATTTTTTACTTCAATAAATTACAATTTAGTCACAGTTATCTATAAAATGGGTATTTCAGTTTTTTGTGTTTTTTTTTTCAAGTAATTTATTTAGCCATAGTAAATCTTTTAAATTGTAGTTTTATTAGTATTTCCTATGAAAAAAATGAATCAAACATGCTTTACATATATAGCAAGTTATGTTTTTTATAGCAGGGATGTGCTATAGAAAAACTGAATGATCCCAATTAAGTTATTTGGTGATTATATACAAGTCACAAATGGAGCAAATAGCCCTTCTTCATTGTTTCAACTGCTGTATGACAACATTTAGTGGTTATTCATTACTAAAGACCTGTGTTGTCACATGATTAGTAAATTAAGATGTATACTTACTGAGCTCACTTGGCTGGCCCAATCTTGTTGAAGTTATTAGTTCTAAATTAAACCAGAGTTTTGCCAGTATCAGGATGTTATTTAATTAAAACCTTTGATTTAAGAGTAGATATCTTGTGGCAGTTATGATGTGGAGTAAATTGCAAGATTTTAGCTCTGATAACTTAATTCAAAATCCACTGGACAGGTAAGATGGGAGAACTAATTTTTAAGCTAAACTCATTATATCCCTGTAACCTCTATTAAGCTAACACATTCACTGTTCCCATCACATAAATGTACTGGAATAGAATAGCTTTGCAGTAACTGACAGCATTAGAGGATTATCCATCATTTTTTCAAATAATGTTATGAAAGAATGTTGCATTAATCTACAAAGAAACATGTGACTGCATTTAACTAGCACAGATTACCCATCAAACTCCTTTATCTTCTTCTCTCCCTCCAAAAAAAATTGTGAGTTTGACCCCTACTTATAGCTTGTAATCCTAGTAAAAATATGAAAATACTTAAACGGCAAGTAGTTAAGATAATTAAATGTAAAATAATGATAGTGACAAAATACTTTTCTATACCAATTACATATTGAAGCCCAATGGATGGCTTGAAGTGATAACTAATGCAACTTTAAAAAAAAATTAAAGATGTCCACTCATCAACATGTACAGCTGAATTCTCATGGCACAGTTTAAATAAGTTGGTTAAAATGATCTAGTATTAAGAGGAAAGGGGTAGATTAAAAGATCTACAATAGTTTGTTTCCAACATGCACAATCAGCCCACATCATCTTGATTCTTTAAAGTAACTTATAAAAAAGGCATATGAGCACCCATTCAGAGTTCTTCCTTTCATGCTTGAACAATAAACAGTGCTCAACTTCTGAGCAAAACAACTTCAATAATGTAATCAGTTGCTGTCAATTCAGCTGTCATTATCAAATGGTTTACTTCTGCCATCACCAACATCTTAACTAATACAGCAATGTTTTATTTGTCCTTATACACAAAAACTTTTTGTCTACTACTATGGATAGCTTTGTTACTTTTATTTAGAAAAAATTAAAATGTTCACAGACCTATCAAGTTACTATTATTACACACTGCATGATTTAAGTACCACTGATAAACATTACTATGGAGAAAAAAAGTAACACAATAAATATTCTCATGAAATGTTATTTAGAGCAGTAGGAAAAATAATCTAATACCAATAAGTATATATACCCACTTGTTAAGATTGATGTGATTTTACATTTTTTAAACGAAACACTTTTGTAACAAATATAATGTTGTCTGTGCTACAGAATACCAGTTGCAGTTCACTGCTTTTAAAGGCAATTTCTAAATATACACAAATTTTCAATTTTTTATTATATTGTAGAACACTTGGATATAGTGAATAAGTCTAATTATTGTGGTGACTATTTATACATTATTACAGACACATGGTAGGAATCAAGATTGATTTTTTGTTTTGAAATATTAAGGAAAATTCAAAAACAATTTATATATATATATATAAAGTATGTTTAGAATATTTAAATACTTGTAAAAAGTAAAACCAAATTTTCACTCCTTTCTAAACATATTTGATTTTGATTTAAAGTAAATTCAATTTAAAGGTTATTTGACAGATATAAAATTTGTATTAATTTCTCTGAAAAATTTCCAGTTATAATTTGCACTGTTTATGTATAGAAATCTCTAAACTTTGTCAATCTATAATCAAAATAAACCATTAGAACTCTGTTGAATAAGTAAAAAAATATTTCAAACAGCTATTCATAGGATAAATTATTCTAAAAAGTTATGTAAATAGGGCCTCTCAAGCTATCTTGTAGGAAAATGTGATGCTAGATGTGGCATGTTCATGAAACTTTTATAATTTTAAAACTACACAAGTCTTCTTTGTAAATGGAAAACAAACAAGTTAATTTTTATAAATTTTGGGAGTGTATATATATGAAGAGATCTTATGTTACCCTGAATTATTAATTTGTACACTTGCACATAACACAAATCAGACTTATTTTGTATTTGCTAAAATTTGCTTGAATATTTTTTTTTGTGTGTGTGCTAAATTATCCATAAACATGCACAAAAAGATTTCAAGATGAACTACAAGACTTACAACTTGTTTGTGATAATTCTCATAGACAGAGTCAGTTATATACACACTAAGAATTTTTATACAAAATTATAATTTATATGCTAAAATTCTTAAAAGATCTATACATCCATGAACAAATTATTTCAAAATGGTTTCCATAAGACTTTGGGCTTAAGAACTTTCATATGACACTAGTTTATCAGTTACCAGTCTGTATCCTAAACACTGAATATCTCCATTTAAATAATTTTACTTGTTCAAAAATTATATATATATTTTGGATTAGTAATAACTTCTTTATAAATTCATATGTAGTGAACACAGCCTAATCATATGGATATTTCTGTATTGCATTTTTAATATAAATTCTAAAACCTTTCAATTTCAGAAAAAACTGATGTTTCCATAAGCCTTTACAATGCAAAATTTAAATATGTTTAAACAGACTTCATAACCTACTGAAGTCTATGCATAGCATGTTCATAAAGTCACTTAAAACTCAGATATTCAATGTGCCTCACTTTCAAAGCATGTAATATCTTGCTTGTATGCATACATAACATGTACATTCTAATATTCTAAAACCTAAATGTCATTATGTATGAAAAATGTCTAACATAACAAGCAAATGGTGTAACAAGGGTTTATCAAAAGGGTTCATCATCATGGTTACTGGTACATGCATGATCTTTATAAAATATTTTTTTAAGTAATAACTTTATAGCAAATTTTTTTTATTTCCTTATTTTTCATGTACACTGAATTATCTATTCAGAATGAAGACAACTGAATGTTTCTTTGCATTTATGCTGTTTACTGACTTCAGCTTTAAGTCATCTTACTTCAAGCAAATGTTTATATTACACTACTAATGAACCAATTTAAAAAATAAAAATGATCTCCAAAAGTTTCCCAACACTGTCACAGTAACTGATATTTCTAAAGCATTTGATCCTTACATTTAGAGTTAAAGCAGCACCAAAGATTATTAAACAGAGATACTAATTTTTTAAGTCCATAACTCCCTATAGTTGAAAATCTTAAGTATTGAAAGTACATATTCTACATATTTCCAGTGAACTTACATTTTAGTATTTGAAATAATCTTTAATATATTGATACCTGAAATATCTCATAGGATGTACAAGTACAGATAATGAATATCACACAAAAGTACAATCAGCCACAACATACTGATAATTAGAATAACCTTCCTATCATGTAGTCATTAAAAATTACCTTCAAAATGGCAAGTGACTAAAACTATTCTTGCTATGAGCTGATAAACTAAAAACTAATGTAGTGTAGTAATAGTATACAAGTATCAAACTAATAATAAAATAAATTTGCATAAGTGGAGTATGGTAACATTAATAAGTCATTCTAACATCAAATGGAAAGAAATGCAGGACAAGTATCACAGGTAGGCTATAACAGAAAAAAATAAGAGCATTTATCTTCTTGCATACTGAACAGAATGGGGCAATTATACATTGACATTAGTTATAGATACATAGAAATGTTTTGACAATTAGCAATTAACCTTCTCCATACAGGTTCCATATCACCTTGGTCAATTTGACAAGTGTGCATCTCATAAAGTTTCACAGTTGCGTTCAAAATTTTATTCAAAAGGTTATTCTAATAAAAAAAAAAAAAAATACCATCCCACAACAGAAGACCTGTCCACCTTAACTTTCAAGGACAGTTTTACAAAAACCTGTATTCTTATTTGATGAAAACATTTAAAAAGCAATATAATGTTTTTTTCAAGCTTGAAACTGTCTTTTTTAAATTTGGTGGCAATAAATATCAGTTGAAAGGGAGTCACTGATGAATGTATAAGCAAAGTTGTTACTCATACCAGTAATAGAAATTTTTTCCCCTATATGTAACTCAGTTGAAAACCAGTTAAATTACAGTAGTTTTGGGACATTCTATTCTTGTGAAACATTTGAAAGATACATGAATTTTTGTTTGGGCAAAGAATTTAGAGAAAAATAATATAGGACTATTTAACTGCACAGTAATATCTATACATGAAGAATCTGTTAAAATGGGAGTTAATGCTTTTAATGAATGAAGAAATTGCTCATGTGGTACAAGCCAGGTAATAAGACTACAATATTCAAAGCAAATATATATATCTCAAAAAGTTAACAGTTCAAATTGTGAATATCATTAACTGAAAATGTAGTGACAAATGATGCATATAAAGTAGAAGAAAAAAGGTATAATTTATTTCATTTCATAGTTTTTAATTTCATTTATATTCATTGCACACTGATGATTTAGCTGCAGTTAAAATTCAATGACGAGGAACCCACTTTGAGACTAATAATGGTTTGAGGCGGCTTGAATGGGTAATGAAGAAAAACTTTGATATAAGTTTAACATAACAGCAGATGTACCGCAGTTAGTAGTATGGCAGAGAAAATAAGAGATAAAATATATGTTTGCAAATAAAGCTTTTGAAAATCATTAAGAGGTTCTAGAGGTTATGCAAACGAAATGTGAAAACTGTAAGATAAAAAGAAGTATCATTATTCTTAGTCTGAAAATCCAACCTGTCAATCAGACTGCATCAGTACTTCAGAAATTCAAATACTTTGTGAAAATATTTATCACAAAATTTGATTTTTGTAGAGAACACAATTGCAATATTTATCAAAAGCTTGCCAAATTTCATGAAAATAAACACAGTGTATTCATTATAGTATACATAGTTTCACAGTTACATGGTGATAGTAAGATTGGTCAAAATGGCCAAGCTTTTACGGGCCCATATGGAAAAAGTTAAAATATACCATTAATATTGTTTCATAACAAAAGTATACTAAATGTACTCTATCTTAAAACTAAACATCTAATTTTAAATGAGATGAAACCAATATGTTTTATACCTGTATACACAACTAAAATAACAAAGCAATGCGAGAAAAAGTTTTCATCAATACTTAAACATTTATCATTTTTACTTTTTATTAAGATGTATATGATGCCTACAGGTTGTTAGATTAATAGCTTTTATATTGCAATAAAAAACCATTGATAATACCACCTCTCTAGCAAATAAATTTGAGAAAATATTATCATAAAGTTTCTAAATCAACTAAAGCAATTTCTCCAAATATACGTTTTTAAATATTTTGCTGAGCTTGTCATGTTCTAGATTCTACATGATAATTGCCCTTTATACTGTCTTATACCACCTGTAATATTTGTGTATTCAAGCTTCAACACTATATAAAAAATTAATATAAAAAACAAGAGACTATTACTTAAAAAACATATTTACATTTATACTCAGTCTTTTTTTTCATAGCTGTTCAAAGCTCCATGAAACATGTACAATAAATGCATTTTAAATATTTAAACCTAATTGAGCTCATATTTGATCAAAAAACTATTTTCTTTACAACTCTGAATAGTCAATAGTAGTAATTGAAAAACTTTTGTCCTGCTAAATTACTTTCGGAATTGGAAAAATATTACCAATTTTCTTTTTTTTTAATAGTGACCTTCTTCCAGATAACCTTTGATGCAAGCTGGTAGTGGAAGATGTTGAATGTGGTCAAATCTGGTATACTGACGAATCACAAAGCGACATAAGTACTGCAAAGTACGTACTTGAGTAAACCTAGATACAGGTTTTGTCAAACGCACAGGAAAGGAAGGTGATCCATGATATCGACTACGAGAATAACAAAACACTCCAGACTGAGAATAGTTCATGGACTGTTCAATCAAGTCTACAATTGATGAGTGACCCTCTGGTTCTGGTTGAGCATAAAAACTAAACAAACCATTACAATGCTCAATACGCGTATGAAGAGTCCGCCCATATGATCGGAAACTAAGACTAAGGAGGTAACGATCATCTGAGCTGTCCCGCACCAAGAAAGCCCCATCTGACTGATCAGAGAGCTTTTCTTCAGCTTCACTACGAGTAATTGGGCCCCAATACCATCCACATTTGGACAGCTTAAACAACTCTTCTGTAATGCTTACAGTCTTAGAACTATCAGGTACATCAGCACAAGCATTAAAGGTTGTTAGTTTACTCTGGAAATCACTAGATGACGAAGGCACGTCCAAGGCTAAACTAGAAATATTTGGAGGGATTTCAAGTGACTTTGAAATGTTCCATTCATTTTCACTTCTTTGCACTAGAGTATTACACTTTAAATCTTGTTCCTCAGCACCAGTGGTGTTACCCAATGACTTTATGTTTTCTTGTACTGAGTGACTAGATGTATTGGGAGAAGAATATAACTTACTATCTGGAACACTTTTGTCTGTTACATCTTCTGAAACACATTTCTCTAGTATAGCACTATTCCTATTAGTAGAATAACTATTATACATTTTTCTTTTCACATTTCTAGACAAATCATCTGTGATTAATTTTTTACAACAAAATGTTACTGAACTACCAGTATCACAAAACTTTAAGACAGTTTCAGATCCTCTTTCATAACTACATGATGTACAATGAGTACACAGACCTTCAACTGTAACCTCAATATCTTCTTCAGGTTCTGAACATTTTAAGCCAATACCTACTTGTGTTGAAGCTTTATTTGTACCTGGGGCCGATGTTGTCTGGTCACTTCCTTCTTCATTCTCATACTCATGCACACTACTTGATTCGCGGCGAACACAGCGAATAGGAGATGGCATTGGACACACTGCACTTCTAGTTACTGATTTTGATTGTTTTGACCAAAGTTTTTGAGTTTTAAAGCTAACAACTTCAAGTCCTATTTCAGGGGTCTCAGAATGTGAAGTGTGGTTATGAGTATTTGTTCTAGAATCACACAACAGACTGTGAGTGTGACGATTTTCATGACGTTTTTTCCGTGTACGGGTCTTACGCCATTTGCAACGTAATGCTGTCAAGATATTCTTGTTACCTTTTTTTCTATTTATCGACAAACAGTTCTCACTGCTGCATTTTGGAAGAGTACAGCTAGCTTGTTGTTCACGATCTACTTCAAAGCTAGTCCTTTTTTCAGCGTCCTTATTATCGAGTGTGTCGCCATTTGCATGAAGACAGCCACCTTGATGCTTAGGTGGTCTTGAAAAAGTTGCTTTCAGGTGACCAAAACTCACTCTTTTCATCATCTTTTAAGTCTCTGGTACATTTTAAGAGCCAATACTCTATAACCCTAGCTAAAAAATACCAGTAAGCATTAAAATACTCTAAAAGATTTTCAAAGTTTTACAACTATTTTCAATTCCCATTGACATTTACTCACGATTGTTATTGCACATGCGCACTGTACAAACACGAAACGTGAAGCGCTATCTACGAACCAAACTTTTATTGAATATGGAATATATCAATACTAGCTGAGTTCCCTGCGTTGCACGGTGAAAATTTAGATTTGAAATGTATAGATCAGTACTTTTTTCAGCAAATTATTCAGTAAGTAGACAAAATCTGTGATGCGAGAAATAAAAAAGCATTTAATCAAACAAAGCTTTATTTGACATTAGATCGTGTTTGAGCTTGTTTTGTTCTTTGAGCCTGAAGTCGTACATTATGTTCCTCCTCTGTTTCTTGCTCTCTGTAAGTTATTTGTCTTGATTTTTGTGCTTGAAGTCTGATTTGACGTTGTTCAGAAGACGTTGTTGTCTATATCCAGCCTGCCTTGAAGATTCTAACTGAACTCTTACTTTGTACTGTTCAACAGTTTCTTGCTGTCTTTGAGTAGTCTGCCTTTCAGCTTGAGCTCGAAGTCTAACTTTACGTTGTTCCAAGGTTTCTTCCTGTATTTGAGCAGCCTGTCTTGCAGCTTGTGCTTGAAGTCTTTGATTGTGTTCTTCTTCTGTTTCAGCTGCTCTTTGTGCTTGCATTCTTTTAGCGGCAGAAGATTTTCCATAGAAAGGAAATTTCTTGGGTGGCATAATCATCTGTATCACTAAACAATAATTTGCAATTGAAAAAGTTACTAAATTACTTATGAAACCACTTAACACTATTTAAAGAAAACTGTTTTTGGAAATACTGAATTGACAACAAGGTGATTTGAGTATCTCCCGCCATAACGCTTTCTATGTGCAAAACGTGCTTATGTTTGTATGTTTATTACAAAAAAAAAAAAAAATGGCGCAATAATCATGAATTGTCAATTTCGTTATAAAATACTAAACCAAATTTTGTATAAATAGCACCATTAAATTTCTTGTAAAAAACTGGTTATTATGAAGTTATTTTAAAATTTGTAAGTTCAACTGTTTGGTTTCCTACAGCGAACAAAATAAACAAATAAACAAACTTTCTCTTATATATATATATATTTATTTCTAAGATTTTTGTACCAGTATGTTGATGATGTGGTTTGTCTTTGTCCGGGCTCCAAACGTCAACTTGACAATTTTGTAACTCTTCTAAATTCACAAAACAAATCTTTTAAGTTTACTGTGGAATATGACGAAAACTGAAATATTAATTTTCTAGACTTAAATATTGTCACAAATAACGGGATAAATTCCTTCAAGATATTCAGAAAACTGACTTATAGTGACACTATCATACATGCTTATTCAAGACATCCAATTTCTCACAAACTTGCCGTTTTCCTTAGTTTGTTACACAAGCTTATCACTGTACCTTTGTCATCTGAGGATGATGAAACTGAATTGAAAATAATAAACAAATTGCTGTAAATTATCTTTATGTAATTAAGTTAATTGACACATTATTGTTGAAACAACAACAAAGACCATTAACTTAAAATCAGTATACTCACATGTTGCACCAAGTGACAATAAATACAGAAAGAAATGGTGTAAGAAAAGCTTTGTCAGGAAACCTTTTCGCAAAATTTATAACACATTGAAGAGATAAATCTATAAACCGGCCTTCTATATACTACTATACAAACAATCTGAACAAAATGTTGTGTAACAGCAAAGAGAAAATCGATAAATACGGTCACAGTTGTATTTACAAACTAACTATTAAAAACTACAATAATATATATATAGGTCAGACAGAACGTCCCAAATAAGCAAGAACTAAGAACATTCAAGAAGCTTGAAATTGGGAAAAATAAACTCAACATTTGCATCATACCTTATGAAAACTAAACACCAATAAAATATTACATGTCCAGGAAAAAGGTAAGAAAGTGAATAACCTGGCAATTTTAAAAATAAATATAATTACAAAAACGAATCCAGACAAAACTCTAAACGATTCTTGAATTCTCATTCCACTAGCTACAGGATGTATGTCAATGTTATATACGGTTGTTTACTTAAATATATATATACATATAGCTGTTTACCAGATGGTTCAGTTTGCATCTAATGATACTCTTAATGGCGAAACCATAGTCGTAATAGGTGATATATTTCGTAATTATGGAGTTTCACTAAATACCAACGTCTTCAAGTATTAATTATGTAATCGAATCACTTCCTAAACTATTAAAAGGTTCTTGATATTA